TTCTTGGTGGCGAGAACCACTGGAAATAGTTCGGAGAGAGTCCAATTGGTCGCACGCGTTCTCCTCCGTGGTGCAGGGGGAACCCCTGCTGAGGGTGTCCCGAATAGCTGACCTTTCGGAACCCCCTGCGTCCTTGTATCTAAGGACGGACCCCCTACCTGAAAGATTTACCGAGATGAGGGGGCTGTGCGATTCATCTTTTCGACCCCCACGGCCCCTACTCACGAATGAAAAAGCCGCGATACTCCTGAAAGAGGGGGTGTCGTTTCAGCCCCGAACAAGGGAGTATCGGTGGGGACCGAGGGAACTGGCACAGACCTTTTCGATAGAACCCTCGGCCGAACCCGAACTGGACAGTGATAGTGACATGGAAAGCGAGCCGATGAGTTTGGCGGACAGTCAACTTATTGCGACTGTCCTTTCGGCAAAAACCGACAACTCTTTGTTTGGGGCCTCGCCCGAGGCCAGCGCGGCGGTCCCCACGGTTACGACGACGGTCTCCCTTCCTGAGGGAACCGTAGAAGTTCAGTTACCGACCCGTGTTCCGGATGAATACAGACGCCTCCTCCTGGCGGTTATACGGGCCTATCCTTAGGCTGTCAGTATCCAAGATCACGACATAGGGCTAACCCCTTTGATACAGCACAAGATTTATACCGGGGATCACGCCCTGATACATTGCCGACCGTACTGATATTCCCTTAAAGAAAGGCAACTGGCGTTGGAAAGGGTACGGGAATTCAAGCGGTTGGGGTGGGTCGAACCATCGTTGGGACCATGGTCTTTTCCCGTGGTCCTCGTGCCAAAGCGAAATGGTTCCGTCTGGGTATGTATCGACTATCGAAAATTGAACGCTATCACTACCAAAGATGTGTATCCCTTGCCGCGAATCAACGATTTGTTGGATGCCATCGGGGCCGCTCGAGTATTTTCCAAGTTCGATATCCGACACGGTTTTCACCACGTCGCGGTCCGACCGGAGGACCGACCCAAAACCGCTTTTGTCCTATTTGAGGGCACGTGGCAATGGGTCCGGTGTCCCATGGGAATTTGTAACGCCCCTGCAACGTTTCAATGGGCCATGAATATGGCCTTCGCTGAGTTCGTTAACAAAACCCGACTGACCCAGCCCCTGATCAATTTCTGCGTGATTGTGTACATGAATGATATTTTGGTATTTTCAAAAACACACGAGTACCACGTGGAACACATTGAGTGGGTTTTGCATGCACTAAAAGATGCGGGGTTCAAAGTGGCCTTGGAGAAAAGCGAGTTCTTCTTGTCAGAGATCTCATTCTTGGGGTACATCGTCACGATCGATGGACTAAAACCAGATCCGAGGAAGGTGGCAGCAGTTCAAGACGCCCCGGCGCCGGTCACACTCACCCAGGTTCGGGCTTTTCTAGGGCTGGCATCCTATTACCGACGCTTCATCAAGGGGTTCGCCGGTATAGCGAAGCCCCTCACGAACCTGCTGAAGAAAGAGGAACAGTTGATCTGGACGCCGGAATGCGAAGCGATGTTTCAGGCGTTGAAGGAGGCTCTGACACCTGCTCCCGTGTTGGCGCGCCCCGACCCGACAAGACTGTTCGTGTACACAGACTGGCAGCCTCAGGCGATATCGACGGTGCTGACTCAGCACGGGGCGGACGGAAGGGAACACGTCATTGAGTATGTGTCCAAGACGCTGAGCCAGGCGCAGGCTAATTACGAAGCGTGCAAAGGTGAATGCCTGGCGGTGGTGTGGGGGATCCAGCATTTCCGACCGTATCTTTACGGCCATAAATTCGTGTTGGTAACGGATCATCAGCTGCTGTTGTCCCTACGCAACAACACGGACTGCACGGGGACGCTGGGCAGGTGGGCGGTGCGTCTGCAAGACTATGACTTCGACATCGGCCACCGTGCCATGCGGCAGCATGGTAACACCGATGGATTGACGCGTCTCCTGCCGCCCAACAAGTGTCCCGCCAACGAGCGACTCATTCCGTGGAGGCCAGAAGTTGCGGCGACGAAACCGCAATACGGGGAGCTACACGTGCTGCGGAAGAACGACGCCTGAGTCCAGAATGGAGGTTTCATCGGAGATGGCAGACGGGATCTCTTTGCCCTCATCCAACTCCCTCGCTCTCTCGTCTAGTCCCTACTCGTCCCCTGAAACGCATATAAGCCCCTGTTTCTTCTATACTTTGCCTATGGTCCTGGACCAAGCAGGGTCACATCCGGGAGGGCCCAGTTTTCTTTTATGGGTTCAATGTAGTCGGTGTCATACGGTCAAATCTCACGGACAGTGCGTTAGGTACCGAAGTGAAAAGACATGGGTCTATCCCAACTGTAGAACGGACCAAGTCCCTACCGAGAAGCCGTGTCTGGACGCTAGAACAGCCGACGGATTCGCGCCAAGTGCCCGCCGGGCAGCCTGGACGGACCTCCTGTTGCTACGGGGACTGTCAGGCGACTCGCTATCAGAACTTACCAAAGCCGAACGGCGGAGAGTCACAGAGCGGGCACAGGACTATCGTTGGCAGGGACTGACGTTACAAAAACGAAAAGTCGATGATGACGGAGGGTCTAGCTGGTTGACGGTTCCACACCCTCTCACTAGGTTCGATTGGACATGAGCCGCTCATGAAGAGGATGCGGTTCATTTCGCGGTCAAGTACACGGAAAAAGCCATAGAAAAGAACGGATGGTACTGGTCGGGAATCCGGGAAGATGTGAAATACATCGTTCAAAATTGCCCGGCCTGCGCAGCGGACAAGGCGCCGGTACAGATGCCTCGGACGATGGTGCCCACTCGTGTAGAGCGCCCCTTTCAGAGGGTTAGCGTCGGTACGACGGATATCAACGTTCTGAGAGGTCCCGTTGATCAGGGAGAACTCAATGTTCTTTTAGTAGCCGTCGATCATTTTTCAAAATGGATCGAGGCGTACCCTATGACCAGCCGGAATTTGCAGGAGGTAGCCTGGTACGTAAATCAATTTTTGTGCATGCATCTAGACGTGGAAGAGGTACACATGGACAATGAGTCGGAATTTCAAGGAGAAGTAGAACGTCACCTAGTCAGGGCGGACGTTAAGATTATTTACTCGCCGGGGCATTGGCCTCAAGCCAATGGCCTGGTAGAGAATGCCAACCGACTGATTAAGACCGCCCTTAGACGGAATATCACCGCGGGAGACACCCGGCCCTGGCCGGTCATTGTCGATCACATCTTGGCCGTTTATCGGGCCACCCCGCACGGTAGTACCGGGGTGTCCCCCTTTCAACTCAGAACCAATAGTGTCCCTCGGGTGCAATTGTCCCCCTTAGTAGGTACGGAAATTAGAGCAACACGGGCCCAGAACCGAGAGAAGGCCCGCCACTACATGGACTTAATGGCTAGGGCCTATCCCCCGTTAGCTCGCCGTCGACAGCGGGCCGTAGATCGCACACATCAACGGCAGATCCGTGACTACGAGAATCGACACGCGTCGGCGGGACCACTGCCTTGCTATAAAATAGGGGACTTGGTGCAGGTACGGAAATCCGCGCGCTCCTCCAAAGTCCACCCACGCTACACAGACATTTACGAAGTGACGGAAGTTGGCGCACGAGGCCAACACTCCGTGAAGCTGGTCCCCAGGCACAACTCACAGGGCCGCCCGCTGACGAGGCACGCTGCTGCCCTCCGGCCTTTCCAGCCATCGCTAGATCTCGTGCGGCCACCTGTCCTGCCCGAATCACCTTCTTCGTCCCCCTCTCATGCTCCTTCGTCCTCGCCTCGTGCTTCCCCTTCTCTCCGATCGGCGTCGTCGGCATCCGCGAAAGACCTTGCCTCGCAGGATGAGCCATCGCCAACAGGAGCATGAACTGCTCGAGCACTTTCAGCCGCCCATCTCGGGCGCTCTTCTCCGGAACCGGTTCAACGACAATCGGCAGCTGCGCTTCGACATTCAGCAGGTGAACGTGCCGGCACCCAGCGTTGCCGACTTGGCGGTGTACTCGCTCCTCGCGCAGCGGGTGACGTACGCGGGTGTCTATGTGGACATATCGCCCGTGCCTGGCCAGGAATCCACGCGAGTGTTCATCGAGTTCCGAGCCATCCTGGTGGCGATGAACTTTGTGCACAGCGTCGCTACTCTCACCTGGGATTTGACTGTCTTGCCCGGGCACGGTCGGGAGCTGGCGTATAGATTCTTGCGCGATTACGCCCTTCAGGTGGCGAGATCGGTGGCGCGAGTGCAGGCTCGGGGCACTCATTGCTTCATTGCATGCGAAGGACTTCTGCGGCAGACTCCGGAGGAGTACTTCCATTGGTGCCGCAGCTTCCCGCGCTCCTTCCTCCCGCCGAGCCCCTCAACATCCAAGTTGTCCCTCCCCCTTCTCTCTAAATACCTCCCTTCTTCTCTTACACTACCCTCCCTTATCAACTTACGCAGCTCCCCTATCCTATGCACAACTTTCCCGAGTACCTAGTGGAGCTAACGGACGTGGAGCAGTTGCCGCCCGCCGACGAGGACGCGTGGGAGCTGCATCGGGCGCTGTATTCATCGGTGGTGCTGGGCATGTTCACATTCTTCGTGGAGCACGAAGTTCATAACGTCGGCGAATTCCTCCACGTGTACTACGTGATCGCCAAGCCAAAGCTGGAGCGGAAGGAGGGAACAGTGGCGCTTTATCCTTTTGGGAGGATCGGAACGAATCGCCCGGGGCTCTTACAGCTCATTCACATCGAGCTGCTGTCCATTGCGCAGGTAATCGCCGCGGAAGAAGAAAACTTGCAGCTCAGACTACGGACCGCCTCAGCTCCGTGCAGATCGTATAACGCGGCGGTGATACCTGACTATCTGGCGCATGAAGGGGAGTCCGTGGTGGACTTCGGGCACGAAGATAAGCCGCTGCGGCCTCCATCATCGTATCCAAAGCCGACGGCCTTGAAGGCACCAAGAAAGAGAACCGTCCCGAAGCGGCGATGAAGTCCATCACCGGAAGCTCAGGCTAGTTGAGTGGGGCCTGTCGAGGAGGTCGTCCAGCCTGCGCCGGTGCGCGAAGTTGATCAGGTTCGCGAGAGAAGAGCCACACTTGTCATTGGGCCCCGACCGGGGGAGGACCGCCCCCCCGAAGAGCCGTGGAGATCCACAGGCCATCCGGAGTCGACACCTCAGCGGCCCCGCCTCCCCGATCTCAACAGCCATGCAGCCGGGCCATCAAGCGCAGGAGGGGGATTGGGACGAGTTCCATATCCCGCATCCAGACCCCCCCTCCTTGCAGGACCGTTCCGATTTCGCCAGCCCGCCCGGGATACCCCGGTCATTGACATTAGCAGTTCCCCCGAGCCGGACGGTCCATCAAACCGACGTGGATCACATGGTGGAACTGGCCACCCTCCGGCTTGAGGCCATCGAGGGGGCGCCACGTCCCGATCCGGCATGGGAGGCGTTCTTGCAACCTCCATTCGATGATTGTATAGCGGCGAGGCTGGTGGGCACACTCATCTACGAGACCGGTGGGCGGCCCAATATTATGTACTATATCCTGGTCTTCGCGGCGGTTAAGCGGGAGCGGAAGCCGTACACGGAGAACCATCTAGTGCTGACGGGTCCGCGAAATCGGCCGCTGCAACGACGAATCATTCGAGCGATTGCTGATCTCGCGCCACGGGTCCTCTCGCATGTGCCGGGGGCTTTCCTTTACCCCTCCTTTGTCCAACACCACTTCAATGAAGTGGAAGTGCCGACCAACTTGGCCGCGCTCGCGGTGTTTCTTCCTCCTCTTCCTCCCCCTCTCAATCCGGAGATTGATTACTTCCTATAATCATCTCCACCACCGCCTCTTTCTTTTTCTTCTTCTTTTCCGGATCTAAAGCTCGCGCGATGATACGCGTTGTGTATATCTCCATTAAAAAAAAAAAAAAAAAAAAAAAAAAAAAAAAATTACTTACCGATCGGGCCAGTTGACAATGAAGGGGCCGCCCGATCGAATGTATACTATGGGAGGAGGCGATGGAGGATGCAGGATGCATCCACGTAGATTAGGAAGATGATCGGGCCAGCTGACGATGAAGAGGCCGCCCGATCATCCAGGATATGATGACATCAGCAGTCGGGAGACTGCTAATTTTTCAGAACCCCCTGCATATCACAGATGTGATAAGCTCAGATCCGTACCGCGCGGCTTGCTGTATCCCTGGAGAAAAATCCCGCGGAAGCCCCGAAGTACGGGCGCAGATAGAAAGGGGTTTTCTTTCTTTTTGCTTTTGTTTTCTTTTTGAAATGGCTTTTTCATTTTGTTTGGTTAATAACTCCCGCAGGCGAATAGCGGGCGCGGTATGGAAACCAAGAACGGGTGCGGTTGGGACTTTTTGAATTTTTGCGCGAACGCCCAAGCTCCGATTTCTTCGCGCGTCTCGCATCCCCGTTTCTTGCTTTGCATCCTCGCGCCATCTTCCCTTCTTGCTGCGCGCATTTTCCCCATGACGGACTCTTCGTCTTCCCCTCCGCCCAACTCGATCCTTACCCCGTGAAGTGATTGGCTGCGTAGTTGGGATGCTCGAATCAATGTGGAGAGCGGGAAACCGCGCGCCACTTGAACGGACACCCCAATCACGTAGAACAATGCCATCCCGCGGGTCGAACCCTCTAACTCCCCACCTTCCTCCTGTCCTGCTCATCTACAACCTGCGCTGCCCGCACCTCGCGCTGACAACCCGCCGCCTCCCGCGCTATAAATTCGCGCAACCCTCTCCTCGCTTTCTCTTTGATCTCGGCTGCAATGCTGCGCGAGCTATGCGCGAAAGTCTGCGGCGCCGAACAGGCTCGACGAGCCCAAGGACGGGYGGAGTGACGACGTGGGGTGGACCCGCGGTAATCTCGGGGCGAAGCAGTCGGAGGGACTGAGCAGTGGTGGGGATTGGACGCCGGCCGCGGCAGGGCCTTGTGGCTATGGTGGTCGGTGGTCTTGGGGAGCTTTGAAGGCTGCGCCTGGGGGCGGCAGTTAATTGAATTTTTTGTGTACAAGAAGGACTCGCTTTTATCTCCATTGCTGCTTTGTCTATGCATGTCGTGTGTGTGAAGCCCCGAGTGATGGGAGCTGGCGGTGCGCACGAGTGATGTCGAAGGTCCATGGATGATTAGATGTCCTGTCAAAGTTTGTTGATTGCATGCATGTATGTGTGTATGTACTCGCCCGGGCAGGGATGGGGAAACTGAACTGGGGGACCGTCTGCTTAGGAGTATGAGTGTGTTGATCCGATTGTTCCCCTCCCCTCAGTGGTCTTTCCTGCGCTCGCGCGCAGTCTCGGCGTAACTCACTCTCTCTCTCTCTCTCCCTCTCGATTGCTTTCCTTTTTTGAACTGATAGTCATCGCTTTTTGAGCTTCTCACCCCTGTACCGGTGACGTCAAGCGCTTGCATCCGCGCGGACGGTCGACCCCCCCGCAAGGGGAGAAAGCTTAAAGTTCATCATCTTCCCTCGACGCACCCACTTTTAAGAGAGAAGAATTGCGTCGGTTGTTGTATGGATTCGGTGTTTGTTCGGATGACCGGGAACGCGGGATCTTGCCCGTGTTCATTGCGTACCTCCGACTGTCTCATCTCGCTACCGACCTTCCCCATCATAGATGACGACAACGTCTACTGCGATGCGGACGTACGACACGTGCTGAGGCGGACGGAGCAAGTGTGTTGGCAAGACCCGCCTCGGGCGTGTGATATAAGGGGGAACAGGTTTGTCCTGATCGATCGTTTTGATTCCCCGACCCTAATATTGCCTTACACGGGTTTAAGGGTGTGGCCGTGGTCGGCCGCTTACACCGCGTGGCGGCCGCAGTTTGATTGTCGCTGGTGTCGCCAGGGGGACTCGTGTTCTTGGCGACGGCTGGTCCTGGGTTACGAGGGAGCGACACATTTCCCCGAGCTTTCCCGTAGTGCGGGGACGCTGCCTGAGCAATTTCCAATTCGGATGCCGACGAGTCCTCCCGCCGCGTTACCCTCCCGGAAACTTTTGCGGGGACTCTGTGAGTCCGACGCCAAGACTTAAAGGCCTCGAACCAACCACCTCCACAGCAAAGACCCGAGGGTTCGGCCACTTTGTGAGGCCGATGATGAAGCCTGAAGGCTTCGAACCCGCCACCTATCCCCCAAACCCCTGATGGCCGAAGTTTTGTCCTCCGCCGCCATGGCCCTCTCCCCTTGATGCCTTTTCTCCGTCCCGATGCATGACGACAGTTCATTTTTGCGGAAACCTTTTTTTGATTTTATCGCTTCGGAGTGATCCGACCCCCACGGGACTCCGCGACGACAGTTCGACTTCGGGGAAAACCTCTGCCCCGAAACGAGGGCCTCCCGTTCCGTCCGGGAGACTCAACCCTTACGGCCAAAAATCCTCGGCCACGCCCCTCCTAGAACTCTGATCGGCGACCCCGTACGGGAAGCCGCGAGGGGGCGTGAGGTTGCGTATTACAGGTTTCTTTCGATGAGCAGCCCATAGGATAGAAAAGCCCCGGACTAAGAAGTCTAATGGCCACAGCCCCGCCAAATTACAAACAACAATCTGTGGGTTGAAAGATGTGGTACAATATTTTACTGGTTGTGTGCCCAAGAGGGGAGGTAGGGGAACGAGAGGTTTGCATGCCTGCATGCACTGGGAACCAGTAATAGGGGATAGCACCTGCCTCCAAGGCTGAACGTTGATAGCGGCTATGGGACTCGGGTATATTACCACCTAATTATAGCTGCTGTGCAGGCAACCAATCTGGGCTGCCGGGTAGTTGTGTAGCCCCGCCCGCCTAACTCACATCTCCCTCCCCCCAGGACGGGTCATACAGCAATCTGATGTCTATACCAACAACCAAGCATGATGTTTAGGGACGCTGGACCCGGTTTCCAGCAGGTGCTTCTCCCCACCAATAGATGGAGCCTCCCCGACTGTGTTAGTGGTGTCTGCTCTTATCAGCACCCCTACCACCTCCTCAGACTGTTTGTTTAAAAAAAAAAAACAAAAAAAACTGACAACTTTCGGAAAACACATCCGAAAGGCTGTGTGGCGAGCCCCATACACAGCTCAAATTATCAGAGTGATCATTTTTATTTGTTTTTATCTTTTTTAGACAAACCGACCACGTATACATTTCAATCAACATCCAGTTGAGGCCGGGGTCTCACAATTCAACCCGGTGTTATCCTGGGAGCCTTACCCAGTTTCGCTTACGGTTCTGGTTGAACTGGGGATCAATCTATCCTGTACTGTCTTACTCATTCCAATCTTGCTTACAGAGGAGGCCAAGCTTTCAAATAAAAAAAGATTGTAACTCACTATAGTTCCCCTATCCTATTCTATTTTGTCCCTACTCTGACACTCCCTACCGGGCCTAAAAAAAACGGCCCTTGGGACTACCACGGCCCAGTGGACCAAAGTCCTCTTATCCTGGCCATTCTACTACTTGCCCAGTGCAACACTAATGTAACCGAGTGCCCTGGTTATACGACCAACTTTTCTTCTCTCACTATCCTATGATGGTTAACGTCTACCTTCTCAGAGCTCTTCCCCTCTGGCCCCCCTCTGTCTTCCATTGGGCTGCCTTTCTCAAATCCAATGGGAAATGACTAGCCCCTTGGTGGAATGGACCACAACCAGTTGATTTCTTTGTGCCCAAGTATTCAGGAACCAGTCCAATTGTCTTCGATTGCCTCTCCCACAGTGCACTTTCCTTCACCAGTCCACAGATTGCCTGTTTCACGCCTCGTTCGATCCTTGCATTTATCTCCAAGTCTAGCATTGGTTTATTCTGGAACCTTGCTCTGTTGCGGTCCGCCCATATCACTTTACAAAGGATTCCTCTGATTACATGGGCCATGTACCCCCAACTTCTTTTCTCTCTTACCCCTGGGGGGAGGAAGCCCAACAAAACCCATCTCTCTTCCCAATCCACTCCTTCTCCTCCCATTTTCTTCCAATGATATTCCCACCACTTCCAAATTCGTTTGGACGCAGGGCAATCCCACCACAGGTGCCTGGTGGATTCAAACGGCCAACTGCAGCGTCTGCACCGTAGGTCGACTTCCATTCCCCT